GATGTTGTCTTGATTTAAACCCCAAATAGTAAATTTTCACTGATATTTACTTTGCAGTAGGAGCTGTTTGTCTGTTTTGTGTGCGTGTACACATATTCAGACCATTCTTTGAGCCCTGTGAAAACTGCTATTTTAACACTAACTTTTAATTCCCTGCTGAGTTACCTTGGCCTTGACCTGGGGCTGGCATGAACTGGCATAGACTCCCAGTTCTCCAGGAATAATGCTCTATTAGACAGAGCTCCAGTGTCACTGGAGGGACAGGAAACTGGGTGGGAGGAGAACTCTTTTTCCAACATAAGCAAATTCCATATTCATTTATAAAATATCTATGACCCTTTTCTACACAAGAGACTTGTTCTCTCTTGGTTTTGAAATCACCAAGCTCAGCCCGGGCTCCAGACATCCTGCTTCTATTTATTTTTCGTTTGGAGAAGAGGGGCCAAAGCATGATTCCAAACCAGAAGTGAAACTGAATACTTGGAGCCTCAACTACAAATATTTCATAATTGCCAATTAAGTCTAGATTCATAAGCTTTTAAAAAACAGGCTTGAAGAAGATGGGGTTACCATTCTGTTATAAAAATGGAGGAGATGAATCCAGACTCTCCCTGGCCCACATGCCACCTCCTTCCAAGCCAGGCATGCTTTTGCTGAGGTCACAATCCTTGATCTCAGTTTGGCTTTAAGCAGCGGTTCTCAAGCTTGGCTATGCTTAGAATCACCTGGGAACTTTCTTGGGGGCAGGTTTGGAGGTTCCAGCTGGGGACTGTAGCTACTTGTGTATCCTCCAGTGAAGAATGGTCCTCCTCCATCCGGGAAGGTCATCCTCTTCCACTGAGTACACAGAACGCACAGGAGCAGTGAGGGAGGGAGGGGACACGCTGCTACTCAGCCAGATCAGTTGAATCAACCCTGGTCACCAACAGGGTGTGTCACCTTGCAGCTGGATTGCTCTCACATCTTATCTGGGTTTCTAATAGAACTACCGGTCACGTTGCCACGGATCAAATCAGATTTGCTTGGGGTGTGACCCAGTGTCACTCTTTGTAAAAGTCTCCCAGTGATTCTAATATGCTGCCAAGACTCAATCAGGGCCAGAGCATGACCTTCATGAATTTTGGGCTCAACTCCCTGAACTTCTGTGAGTGTGATTATCAGGAGCAGAGAGTTAGAACCTCTTCCACCTTCCCTACTCATCACTCGCTGTCCATGTAGGATTAGGAAACACCATCCAAAGGGCCAGGGCTTGGCACCAAGGCCTGCTACATCAGAGTCACTGGTGCTTGGGGTAAACTTCACTCTTCATCTATGGCACAAGGGGGCTGGGCTGACTGGTCCTTGAAACTTTGCATTTTCAAAGTATAGGATTCCACAAGAGGGTTCTATGAAAACAGAGAGATAAAGTCATGGACAAAGGACAGTGTAAATAATGAACCCACCTGCATTCCCTTCATATTTGATCACTTCAAACACTTTGGATATACAGGATGACAGAGTGACATGCAGAAGAAACTTGTATGGACTATGAAAAATGCATTTTCTGACCTTTTTTGCAATCTTGGGCTAAGTACACTGTGGAGATTGGCTTGGGCAACTGGAACCTTAATTTCACTCCTGGCATCAACCTGCCTTCTCAAATGATGCACCTCTTGCTCTTCACAATTCATGAGCTTTGCATCATCTACCCTGAGCTGCTGTGGGAACACCTCTGTCCACAACTGGAATGATGCAGAAGCAAAGGCTAAACTGCTGAATGTAAAATACTCCTTGGAATTCTCTGGTCAAGGCTTGCAGCCCTGCACCCTGATGGGTTTCCTCATGTGGCCTCACGGGGGCAGCAGAGTCCATGGTTCTTTCTGGCTTTGACGGATCTTTGAATCTAGTTTGAGAATGACTCCTAAGTCTTTCCACTCAGGCTTTAAAAATCTGGTTATCCCTCAAGAATCAAAAACAAATCCCCCAAACATGACAGAATCGCAATGATTTCACAGAACTTATAATCAAACTAAGCAGTGTCAATATGGAGCCCAATATAAGCAAGACTTATAATGCTTATAGAAGATTTATGAAAGAAATATATGATCTATTAAAATTTGACTGAATTTTGGGAGAAACACAAGCAAGACTTTTATAGTGAATTTTATTTCAGAGAAAGGAGCTATGGAAATGCTTTTATATTGTGTTTCAGTTGTCCCCTCATCCCCATGGGCAATGGTGACATGAATAGGATTGTGAGGAAGAGCAGGTGGAAGGTTTAAGGCTTGCTCTCTGGTTGGCAGCTGCACTTCTAGCCATTAGAAGGATTAATACTCCAAAGTTATGCTCATGTTTGGGAATCTGTATCTCTGATGGAAAATAAATGACCTGTAAACTTCATCATAACTGTGGAAGTATCAGCGTGTATTATAGTCAGAACTATTTAAACTAAGAACCCCTGGAATACAAATGCACACAGACTCTCAATTTATGAATTTGCACATTATTTCTCCTCGCTCAGGACATTCACCTCTATTTTGACTTTTCCCATATCATGTGTGTGACCCCCTCCTTGACAGGGACCTCTGGGTGATGGTAGGTGCCTTCACCCTGGGTGATGGTGAGTAGAGGTGAATCCTGAAGGTCACAATGAGCTCAAACTCAAGAGGTAGGGTAAGACTGCCCACAGCCCAGGTAGCATTTCTTCAGGTCAACACTGGAGTCATTGAATGAGATGGAAAATAGAGAAGCCATAAAACGGGCACCATCTAACCTCCCCAGGAGGTTTCCATTGGAGGGCATGGGCCTCCCTTCTCCCTGTCCTTTTCCCTCTCATCTGACTCCAGCCTTCCTCCCCTCATTCCACCTTTTGACCTACAAGACGGGAGGCAGCTCTTCAGGTTCAGGGAGGAGAAGCTGCTCCTGGCCAGACCCAGCTCTGTTCAGGTGCTTCCAAGCAGGACCATGGCCGACTCCAGTGTCTGCTGCCGCGACCTTCTCCGGAAGCTGAATGTGCAGCACACTGAAAACCAGCAAGCTCCAAACTGTGAATGTGACCTAGACAGGCCACCTGGAGCACCTGTCCCCTCTCAGGCTAAGAAACATGTGCACGGAAATTCAAAAGTAACATTTAATAACGCTGCAATGAAAGTCAAGTCTTTGGGAGGAATTTTAAGCGACGTAAAGAAGCTGTTACAGAAACCAGTCTCATGCTCACTTATTTTAGCCCCTCAACTCAGGACCGTGGGTGAATCATGAGACTTGGAGGTGGCATGCTGTCTTCCTTTGCAAACGGGCAATGGACTCACAGCAGCCCGTTTCTTTTTTTAGACCTGCTAACTCTTTTGCTTGAGAAGTAGGATTCAATTTGAAATTTAAAAGTTTTCAGGTCCACCCTTAGAAGTAACATCTTTAAATGCAAATTACCATGGCAAATTGTTTCATAAAGAAAGGGGACTTTTAAAAATATTTAAAAGGAAACAACCCCCCCACACACACATTTAAATGAAGTATTATTTAAACTAAGGGTGTTACTTATAACATAGTTTGACAATTCTGTGTGCTGTTCTCTAAATGTACACTGACCGAAAGGACAAGAATACAATTATGCTTATTTTTAATTTATATTTATTTTTGATGGTAGGTGCCTTCACCCTGGGGATGTTGAGTAGAGGCCAATCCTGAAGGTCATGTTGAGCTCAAACTCAAGGAGTGCTAATATTAATAGATCATGAAAGGAGAAAAATTGAAGAAAGGTCATTAATAAAAGTAAGGGTCCCTTGATTCAAATTAATATTAGACAGTTTACAACATTTATAGCTAGTGTTTTAAGTCTGTATGAGCAATTTCTAAGTACCTGCATAGCTATTCTTTTTAAACTTTACAGAATATTTAATATGATACTGAGTGCTTAATATAAAACTATTAAAAGTAGCCTTTTATTCAAATGTTAATAATAATACTCTGGTCCTATTGTAGGACCTCTCCCAGAGTCTAGAACTATTAATAATAATACTCTGGTCCTATTGTAGGACCTCATCCAGAGTCTAGAACTATGGATCATCCTAGGAGCTATACAAATGTATCCAAGTTAACAGAACAGTTAGAGACACAAACCATACATCACGGTGAGGCGGTCATGAATATGATCACTGGTCATTGAATTTTAAGGCTTCATCAATGTGTGCAACCAAGGAACACGTTAGGATCTTCATTAGTGCATACAGAGAAAAGTTCAATCACTTTCTCATATGATTCATCCAGTTCTTCCCAAAGCTGCATAGTATGCCTCATCATTGAAGTCACTTTCATCAAAAGTTTAATCAGTCGTATTTTCAACCAATGGTAGAGAGACACCTACATCACAGATTTCAATTGTTTCAAAAATCACCTTTAATTACAACATTTGAAGACTTCATGTCTCCATGAAGCAATTTTTTTTTTCTCGGTGCAGACACTTTAGCCCTCTCCTCTTGCCATGTTCAAAGCAACTTTTAAAATCAGAGCTGCTGATTTTATTTTATCGGCCGTCTTTATTTCACTCTTCTATGAAATCATTTAGAGACTTTTCACCTCCATATTCCACAGCAAGGCACAGTCTGCCATCGCTGGCTTCAGTAAAGGCACGATCACCTACGATGTTTGGATGATGAAAGCTTTTTAAAATCTTAGCCTCATCAGTTAGTCTCCTTGATATATACTCTGATAATCATCATTACACATGGGATTATTCCTTTTCTTAGCCCGAGCAGAATGGGACCAACCTCTGGGAGATCAGATTTCTTTTTTTCAGATCATTGACTCGGCGTCTTGAAATTATCAATTCCTTCCATTGTAACAACCACTCTAGGTCATGTAGTTCTCACACATTATTACCCTATGTGCTTATATAACTATATGACCGGTGAGATTCTACATCATGTACAACCACAAGGATGAGAAATTACACTCCATTTTGTATGATGTATCAAAGTGCATTCTACTGTCATTTATAACTAATTAAAACAAATAAAAAAATACAGTTATATTTATAAGGTGGTTTTTATTAGAGGCATATTTTCTTCCAAGGAGTTTGGAAGAAACTACATTTGGAAACAAGTTGTAGGTGTCATTTCCCCCCTTTGCATATGGATAGGTAAAGAGATTGGATGAATCTTGGACCCTCAGTGATGTCAGATGTTTGGACTGACTTGGGGTGAGGGGTGTAGCTCCGCATGCACTTTCAATGACCTTCGGAACAAAGGAAAGACATTTCCATTTGTTCATTTCCTGCTGACAGCCACATGCCCTAGTTTCACATTCAGAAGCTTGAGAAAAACCAGTAGCACTTCTGATCATTCTGACCCTTTAATCCCCTGAGTGATTCTTACCCACTTATGTTTCCTAACGTAGCCTTTGCTGTGATTGTCTTAACAACTCTGAAGTTCAAACAACCCCAGGGATGTAAAAACAAAAACAAAAACAAAAACAAAAAATCCCACCCTCCCTTGAAGAGAATGCATCCCTAAATGTTTGGGTATAGTTCTTCTGGAGGCTTCTGCAAAAAGTATCCAGCACCCCCACACTTGGCCTGAAACATGGAGGTTAGTAAATTGTACTTTTGTGGCTTCTGAAACTCAGGGCAACTTGTTTCCAAATGTATGTGTTACTTCCCCCTTTGCATATAGATAGGTAAATCCAGAGAGCTCACGCTTCTGAGCAGACAGAATCTTGGGCAAGAGAGCTTCCCCTCACCTCTTTGGGCCTTCTTGTGTGAGATTATAACACTCTGGATTTGTTTGTTTGTTTGTTTGTTTGTTGTTTTTGTGGAGTTGTGGAAGGAACTGGGGCTTCATGCATGCCAGGCAAGGGCTCAACCACTGACCTACATCCCAGCCCTCTGGATTTCAACTACATGAGCCATCCTCACCTAGAACTCCCGTGTGATCCACAATGTGTTTGTAGACCTCAGCTCAGCTATTCACAAATCTAGTGTTTCTGAGCCTCGTGGAAGGACCCCATGATCCTAGCTGGGACGAGGAGGACAGCTCTGCAGACAGGAGCCTTCAGTGAAGACAGCCTGGAGCCCCTCTGGGGAAGGCAAGATTCAACTCAGAAAATGGGACTCATCCTCTGATGCCCAAACCCCTTCTTCTCTACCTAACCCTTCTCCCTTCGTTTTTGATGTCTCTTCAAGGCCTTCTCTGATGGGCTTGAAGCCTCAGGGTCCTCCCCGACTCCTCTTTGCCATCCAACCTCCAATTCAAAATTCATACATGTTCTGCTAACTTTATACCCTAAATGCCGTACTAACCTTCTCTCCCCCATGGGAGCGGGGCCTGATCCTTGGTGGAAGCCATTCCCCTCCCACCTTACTGCTGTTGGTCTTCAGGCCCTAAATGCTCACCTTTCCAGGCCATCCATTGCCATGAAATAAGTCTTATGCCTCACAGGCCAGGGAGCTCTGCTCTGCTCATGACTCTGATAGAGCAGTGGTGTCAAGCTCCTTGTGATCCGACTCTGTCCTTCCTCCCCAGGCTCTCTCCCAACCAACCCAGTGTCTTCGTATAGCCAAGCTTTGCACACACAATCCTGCAGCCTGAAGCACAAGCTTTGCACACACAGTTCTGCAGCCTGAAGCACAGGTTTCAGCCTCTCCACCGACTGATGATCCAACTCAAATTCCTTCTCATGAAGAAGCGTTCTCATGCCAGGCATGGTGGTGCACACCTTTAATCCCAATGGCGTAGAAGGATGAAGCAGGAGGATGGCAAGTTCAAAGCCAGCCTCAGCAAAAGTGAGGCGCTAAGCAACTCAGTGAGACCCTGTCTCTAAATGAGATACAAAATAGAGCTGGTGATGTGGCTCAGTGGTTGAGTGCCCCAGGGTTCAATCCCCAGTACCCCTCCCCTAACCCCCCCCCAAAAAAAAGAAGCATTCTCAGCTGTTCTAGACCACGGGGTGCTCACCTGATCCTGAAAGTCTATGGAACTTTCTGGGGAAGTCACACAAGGAAGATACCATTTCTTAACTGATCACATTTTTATCTTTCATTCTAATCACCAAAGATCTATTTTCAACACATTTACAATCTGTATGTTGCCTTGAACAAGCTATGAACCTGAACAAAACGCTTCTTGATTTTTTTTTTTTCAGATACACTGAAGAATCAGCAGTTCTCTGAGGATTGCTTTTATATAGGCAACTTTTTCAGTGAAAGAAGAGTTTGCCAATAACCTAATAAAAGTGGTGGGGACATGAGAAGGTTGCTATTTCATCAACATATTTGGATTCAGCTTAGAAAGCTGCTGGGCTTAAAAGATCCAATATACTCAAAAGAGATGTCAAATAGGGGGCGAATCTTGGACTCTCTGTGACAGTAACTTCTTTTTTTAAAAGAATCACTCCCACCCCCCAGGATGTGTATAAAAACTGAGTCACAGACACAATGCAGTCCAGGTCATAGGCCAGCTTGAGTCCAGCTCATAAGCCAACTGAGATATCCTGCTCCCCAGTAGATCGGGTATAAACTGAGCTTACGCGCTCAGGGACTTCCTTTTGGAAGTTGGGACAGAGTTTGCAAAAGTGCTTGGCGATGTGTTTCTGAAAGAACACCGAGAGATACCTTCTGAACTTCTCCCCGACGAAGGCATAGATGACAGGGTTGATGCAACAGTGCGTCATCCCGAGAGTTTCTGTCACCTGCATGGCTTGGTCCAGTCTGTTAGAACTATCGCAATTATTCAGGCCAAAGAATTCCTGGAAGGTGGTCAGGAGGAGGACGATGTTGTAGGGAGCCCAGAAAAGAAAGTAGACAATCATGATGGTGAAGATGAGCCTCACAGCCTTGTGTCTCTTCTCGCTCCGACATCGAAGCAGGGTTCTCAGGATCCCTGAGTAGCAGATGACCATGATGAGCAGGGGCAACACCAGGCCTAAGGTGACCATCTTTAATGTCTGGAATTTCTTCCAGAAATGATATTGACTGGCTGGAAAATGAGGGCTGCAGGTATGACGGGAAGCTTCTTTTTGAGATTTGGTAAAGATCATTCCTGGGAGAGAGGCAAGCATGGCCGCGACCCAGGTGATCCCACTTGTCACCAACCCGAAGGTGACTGTCCTGGCCTTGAGAGCAAACACAGCGTGGACGATGGCCAGGTATCTGTCTATTGTCAGAAGGATGATGAAGAAGATTCCAGAGAAGAAGCCTATGTAATAGACTGCTGTCAAAATCTGACACATTGCATTTCCAAAGTCCCACTGGGCGGCGGCATAGTGAGCCCAGAATGGGAGGGTAAGAAGGAAAAGCAGGTCAGAGATGGCCAAGTTGAGCAAGTAGATGTCAGTCATGCTCTTCAGCCTTTTGCAGTTGATCAGGATGAGAACTACCAGCAGGTTGCCCACGACACCAAAGATGAACACTAGAGAATAGAGCGGGGGCAGGAGCCTGGCTGCAATTTGCCTCACGTCAATTTTAACGCAGGGTTCTGACGTCTCGTAATCGATGTAAGAGCTGGGACTTGACACTTGATAATCCATCTTGTTTGATCCTGTGAATAGAGAGAAAGTGATATTTCATGAAGTTGAGTGTAGTTAGTGGTCTGTTCTGAGTGTGCACTCTTTTCTACTTTAACAGGTCTTTCCTTTGATGCATAGATTTCTACATTTAACTGAACTTCCTTCTTCTTTCCAAACAATCCACTTTTCTGGGAAGGTAAGTTTTGCTGCTATCCTCCCTACTCACCAGATGGAGCTGAAATTCACAAAAGCACCATCTCATCAAGGAAAAGTTTGTTTTCTATGGCAATGTGTGGTGAATGTAGCGAGGATAGCAGTTTTGAGAAACGGAATCAGGCACAGTGTAACTCACTGTTTTGTAATCTATATGGAACTGGCTGTTCCCCAGAGTTATTTAACTCACGAAAAACACACACCACCAGTGAGCCAGTAAGAATCACCAGGTCCCCAGGTATATACTTGAGGCCAATCACCATGCTGAGCTTCATACCCAGTTGTTCATTTAATCCTCTGGGCAACATTATGAGGCAGGTAATATTGTTCGCATTTTGCAGACGGGACCCCCCAAGCACAGGAAGAATGAGTAACTTGCCCAAAGCCACACAGCAAGGAAGGAACTGCACTGCAACCACTATGTCACCCCACCACCATGCTACCTTCTTGGCAAAAGAATTAAAGAACAGGACCCTCCACTGGTGACCCATTGTCAGAGTGGAATGGGTTGATGCCCAAGTCCCCAGGAAGGTGACAGAAGCCAACACCAGTGATCAAACCAAGCTGCCATCCTAACATTTTTCTCTGGAGTTTGTGTTGGTAGTTTCTGAGTTATCACATCTAAGAGCTGTCATACAAACACAAAGAAATGACCCAAAAGAAAACACTTCATCTACTTCCAAAGGTGGATGTCCTCGGTTTGAGGCAGTTTGGCTATACAACCAGCTGGCTTGGCCAGTGTGTTCAAATTCCACCACTTGAGCTGAAAATCCTCTCTAGTTAATCCTGGTTACTCATGAACTCTGTGGACCCCACATGAGGTGGCTTAAAGAAACACCCAGAGAAATCTCACTTTAATTCTGAGCCAGAAAAGGAATCGTATCCTAAATGAAACTGACCCACTAGAAGGAAACTTTATTTGATGTTTGTAATTTGATATTAAATTGGACAATTTTTGAGGCTTCCCTTTTTTTGGGGAGGTGGGGTGGGGTAGTACGGGATTTAGCTTCGGGGCGGGGGGGGGCACATGCTCAATGGCACCCACAGGAGTGGTTTCAGTTCTCCTTAACTCAGGAGAGTCCCTGCTGAGATTTCAACAGATTCCTCTCTCTGGAAGTCTTTCTTTTTCAGAGGTGAGGATTACTTGTTTTAAAAGTAATATTACTCCCTCTTCAGTCTTTCATTCATAATCATGTTTTTGTATCTTTGATGCTATCTTACTCTGGCCCTTGCCCTACATCCCAATTCTTTCCTTCTATTAACGATCATATTTTAAGATAGTTCTCTGGGCACCTGGTGCTGCCAGATGTCTTCTCTGCGTTTCCTGTAAAGGTTTTACTCATTACAGAAGCTGAGCTAAGAGACCAAGAGGCTGAGAGATGACTTACCAGAGTTTCTTGTAGGGGGAAACGGATGTCTCAGCTCCTCTGGCTAACTGAGCTGTGCAAATTGAGTATACAGCCAGTTTAGAAGTAGGAAATGCACAGTTTCTCTTAAAGGGGGGCGGAGATTAATGAATAAGTGTATTGCAGGGGAAAAGAATCAGAGAACAGTTCTTCTTCTTCTTCTTTTTTTTTTCCTTCTAAGTTTCATTTAAAATAGACTACAGAAAAGAGGTCTGGCCTTATTTATTTGCCAGCTTCTCCCATTCCATGATTTATTTCACTTTTATTCTCTGCTCATCCCACTACACAGAGTCTGTTAGGAACTAGAAAGAATTAGGGATATTAGAGCTAGAGGTAGACATAGCCATCTAATCAAAAGCCCATTGTTTGAATAAAAGAAATTGGTGTCCAAGATGCAAATGATTTACAGAAGATCTGTAAAGATCTTGTGGTAAGGCTGAATGGATGAGAAAGCTGGACTCTTTAAATAGTTGCTCTTGATTAAAGCCAACTTTATATATATATATATATATATATATATATATATATATATATTTCAAAGGGGAACCCTACTTTTTACATGTGCCCCCTTTTGCCCACTCTCGTTCCATCCCCTGAACCACCACAGCTCACTCACATGGGCTCACCACCCAATCCTGTTTTTCTTTGTAAACTAAAATAGCTGGTTGTCTAGAGGGTCTTAACCATAGGTTCACCTGGGAACAAGACACATTTCCCATCTTTCTCTGAGTATAGTGTCCCATGGCGCATATCCTCATGCATTTCTGTGCATGACCCTCCAATCCAGTGAGCATTTATGATTGCCCACACCCAGGCAGATTGACAGATGTCTGAGTTCCTCACATAAGGACATAATTTATTTGGAGAGAAATTAATGTGGTCATGTCCAGGATTCTATGCTAACACTGTGTACAGTCCTGTCAAGATCTCTTGGTGTTTGGTGACTTATCTCCAAACCTCAAACTAATGACAACAGAGCTGAGTCTCAAGAGCACTCCTGGGCTTCCATTACTTCAGAGATGAAATAAGAAGCTATGGCTTATGATCCACAAGAAGGCCAAGGAGACTCCAAAAAGCAAAATAATAAGCTCCCAAACCTGTGGAGGTAGCCTAGTACCCAGACTGAGCAAGTGGCCCCTGGGGTCAGATGGTCAAGCTTGAAGCCCGACTCTACTCTCAGCTTTCTCTTCTGTGTAGTGGGCTGAATAAGAGCAGCCATTCAATGGGTTTGTTGGAAAGATTATATGAGGCACCCACAGCAGGCATTTAGCAGATACCAAACTCACAATTAACACCGAGTTCTTAGATACTCCTTCAGTGATCCTTTCTTAGAGTTTATTTTATAAATAAATTTTGAGAACATTTGTTTTTCCCTAATAAAATGAGTTTCCTGGAGACCGTGCCTGGAGCAGATTAGTATCAGCAAATTAGAAACTGAAAGGCAGTCAGTTCTTGGAGAATAGAAAAAAATGACTGCTCAGAAAAAGCCAGAAAAGTACAGAAACAGCTCAGCCCTCGAGAACCACCCTGCATGGGGTGTATGACTATTACGACAGTGCTCAGGACTCGGTACCCAGCAGGAGGACAATGAATTAGGGGGCATTCATTCAAGTTCATTCCATGCATGCGATTCAAAAGGCAACAGTGAAAGCTGTTGGGGGTCCAACCCTGGCTTCATTATTTATTACTTAACTCTAGACAAAGTTACTGATTCTCGCTGTACCTTGTTTTCTTATCTGTAAAATAGGGTTAAAAACAAACAACAAACAAACCATAAGCCTATTCTCTATGTCTGTGGTCAAGATCAAATGTTACAGGGATGTCCATCCTCTTCAGACCCCTGCCCTCTGTGGGCTGTTCAAACGGGGACATACAAAGGGTGCTTCAGAAAGCGTTGGCAACCCAGGATATCAATAAACAGACATAAAAATTTATACCACATAAGTAACATAGCTCTGGTTTGGGCTCTTTGACGGATAGCCTGTGTGTTCACGGGTCTGGCTCTTGGGCGAAACTCTTGGCCAAATGTTATGTTTCTGTTTATGACTGTTGTTGGTTCTTACTGTCACTGTGTAGACCCGTGTCCCTGGTGACTGCCATCAGGGTGGCTGAGGATGTGAGGGCCTGCTCACCCCCAGAGGGCACTGTGAAGTTGCTCAGTGCCTGGGGGATGACTTTGACTTGTTACTTCCCCTCTGTGAGTTTCCATTTCCTCATCCCTCCGGTGATGTTCTAGACCCAGGGTCAGCTTGTACTTAAATAGTACATAACTCCACGCAGTTTGGGAAACAGGGTGAGGATTCATGGGCTGAAACAAGGAAGCACAACTCAGCAGGGTGTTCACTCTCCTTGCAGTGTCTGGTCCAAAGAGCTGTTCCAGTTACCTCTAGGATGGGGGTCCGTTCCAAGGATGCACAACTAAGTGAGGACCCATGAGAAATTCTTTAGTAATTAATAAATGAAACTCTGTTCTGGACGTAACAATAACGAGCTAGCTCTTGATCACTCTGTGACTTGGTTTCTCGTCTCTGCTTCTCTGTCTATTCTCTCTTCTCCATTTGCATGGCTCTCAGTCTCCTATGTATGGTGTTCGGACCCCATGAGAAATAATCCTTTGATCAGTTTCCTGCTCCAGACTTGATGCCCACGTTGGAAAGTGTCTCACACCACCTCTCCTTTGGGGCTAGTTTTCAAACAGCAGCTCCATCTCTTGCACTGATGTTCCGGAGGTTGCTTTTCTCCTTGCTCACACCACCTCTGGGCCATATGCTCAAAGCATCATCAACAGATGGGGGAGAACGTTGCTTCTTCTTGATATTGGAAGGGTCAATGACAGAAGTACAGTGACTTAAAATCCTGCTTTATGGCAGCTCTTTGGAAAATGCCTGGGGCTTGAGTTGACTCCAGGTCAGGATTGGCTTGATGGTGAGATGGACTGTAAAGATACCAGATGGTCTTTTATTTTGAAAAATAAAGATCTAATTATAAAACCAACATATGCTCATGGCACGAAATTGGGAAAAAACAGAAAGTAGGGAAAAATCAGGCATATTCTCACAATCTCAAAGCAATTCCTTTTACTGATGTTTTTCAATTCCTGCCTTTTCTCGCGCACGCCTTTCGATTGTTCTCACACGTGTACCACTCTATGCGCTGAGGCTTTTTGGTTTTTTATTTTGCTCAAGATGACAGTACAGGCATCTTTATTAAAATCATAGTTCTTTACTTTCTATTTTTCTTGAGGTCTCACAGACAGCCTAGGGTGCTGGTTTGGGTTGTACAGCTTGGTGAGTTTGAATTTGCACACACTCCTGGCACCACCACCTTGAGGACTATACTTCCCTACCACCCAGAAAGGCGCCCTGGGCCTTGCCTGGAAGTAAGTCTCTCTGTGACTTCATACAGATTAAATCCACCTATTGTTTAACTCCGACTCGACAGGATCCCAGATGCTGTCCTCTCCTGTATGGTTTCTATCTTTCCACGTCACCCCTTTGACTATGTTTAACGGTGCCCTATTAATACACCACCAGGCTCTTGGTGGTGTTGTCCACTAATATGAACAATGCTGAACTGTAGCCACCAACAATGCTGTGACGTCCTGTCAAGGAGGAAACTCCTAGTGTCCCCAAAGCCACCTTTGCCAAGACAGCCAGAGAATCCCCACAGTCTTCACAGAAAGAGGAGCAACTCTCTCTCCTCAGTGTCACCCTGGGTCACCTGCTTGCCTTAGCAATGAGGCTTGGGTCCTGGGACTCCTAGCATCCTATGTGGGGATGACCTCGCCACCTTCTGTCTCAGACGCCTGTGACATGAGGTGACCATGCTGCTCTTTCATTCCTGCCTTTGTCCCCTCTGGACCCTTCTCAGGATAACCCTCTTCCCAGCCCACGTGCCACATCCCTGACACACTCCATGAAAAACATCCAACCCAGTAGGCACCAGCAGGCTGTCCGTGTGCTTAGATATGTCCAGACATGGTGGAAGAATCCCCTTGACTCAGCTTAGACGTGTGCCCTACACATCGGGGATATTTCTTTCAGGAGCTCATGTGGTCTGAGGCGTGGCAACACCGAAGTCCAACATGCTGATTAAGGTGCACAGAGACCCGATGTCATCTTAAGTGGGTCAGGCCACACCTGCAGCTCTATATTTAGCTCTCTGCATAACAGGATATTAGGTAGGGCTCTTTTGGTTGCCCCAGTACTGGCAAGTATGGCTTAAGGATGAGGGCAAAGAGGTGTGCCCTATTGTTCTAGAGAAAACCACTGACACCTGAGGTCAAACACCTCTTCAGGGCTTACTAAGAGGTGACATAACCAGCCCTGTGCCTCCACCCATCACATCGTCCCCTTCCACCCCAGCCTTCATAAGGAGTCCATTGTGGGGGAAGGGTTGCCGATGTGGTATTGATGGAGAACATAGTGGAGTCTCTTTCCTCAAGGCCCAGGGGGGCTCTGAGAGAAGAGGGTGAGGAATGGGGGTTTGCCAAAAGTAAGGCCAGCACTCCTTTCCCGTGGGTCCCTCACGAGGCAGCCTTCAGCTGACCAGAGGACTAGAGATTGGAGGAAGGTGGTGGGTGGAGATGTCATGTCAGTTATGCTGCAAGAGTGTCCCTAGGCTGCACTTGCCCGAGTCACCTGACAAGAGGTAACTGGGCAAGAGCCCTTATGCTGGATCCCAAGGTCTGTGTGAGGCGAACCCAGCGCCCAAGAAATAGTAGGCTGGAAGAAGTCTAGTTGAAGAGAGACCCTGTGTGTCTAAGAAGTGACCATGGGGAACCCCACCAGCTCTAGGCCCTTTGAAGGGAGCACACAATTATGCCTGCCTTTCTGGTGGACTATGGCAGGGGTCGACTGGGTAAAGATGCATTCACCCTTTTCCCAACTATCTCCCCCTCCTCTCAATACTTGTCCAGAAGAGGGAGCAGCACAGAAGGACTCCCTGACGTAGGTCACTAGCCATGGGCTCGTGCAGAAAGAACAGGACACACCCCTAGCCTAGGCGAAGCCCTTTAGAATCCAGTTGACCCTAGGGCTGAAACTGATTGGAGAGAAATAAAATAATTTCATATCATGAATGGAGGACGTTAGGATGCTTTATAGGAGACAGTACAACATGAGACTTTATTCAATGCCCTGATCTTTGCTTGTGAGGCTGCTGTGCTGGGGAGTACCTAGACGGTGGCAGGAAGAGGCCTTATAAATACCTGATCTTGGGCTTGGGTCTCAGCAGGCCCCCCATCTGGGTTCACCCATGACATTACACAACTGTTTACAACCCCAGACATGCACTTTCCCAACCTACAAACACAGTGCCAAAGTGACCACACCTGGAGAAATTTCCAACCTCCATCACTCCCCAAACTCGGGCCCCATCCCCTCCATCCTGAGCTGCCTTGCAAAATCAGACGCTCGGCAGACCAGACTCTTCTCTTGTGGTGTGCTTCCCGGAGTGGTGCCAGGTGGGCTTTCTTGTGGGCCAATCTCACCTGACACTGTTTCAATTTGTCAGGGAAGTTTAGATTATGAGCAAAAGCAAAAGAGGAAGGATGGGGTCTTGGTGAGTAAGCCCTCCCTCCCTGACAGCTTCAGGGCCTCTCTGCAAAATGACCAGCCCTTCCTAGATGCTTTGGGCATCACACCCAAGGGGGATGGTATGGGGTAGGCTATGGTGAGCCTCCTCCTCCATCAAGAATGTCTTGAGACACCTGTGGTTTGTCGTGGTGAGCTTTCCTCACCTCATCTCTGTTTACCTCTAATTGCCCACTGAGAGGTTCCCCCCAGGACATGGGGCTCACAAGTGTGAACTGGGCTGGGCTTTAGGCCTTCTAGTGGCTGAGAAGAGGCTCTGCCCAGTCACTCTTAAGGCTCTGTTTGCATGAGGCAGATGTCACTTGTGCTCACATTCCAGTGGCCCAGTGGCTGTGATCAGGATGGGGCTGTGTGACCCACAGGACAGGCTGCAAGTCACACAGCAAAGGCAGGTGTGTGACTAGAGCACAAGTGTAAAATTGTGAACAAAACACAGTCTCCCATACCACAGTCTAACAAAAAAGACAATGGCTTTTAAAAAATATTTTTTTAACAATATAGTTAAAACACTGATTTATTTTCCAATATTTACATTTCATCATCATCAAAATCGAATCATATGCATTTGTTAGGATATATGAAGGTGACATCCCCCACTGCCCCAACTTCCAGAAACCTCTGGCCATGTGGTAAAATGAAGTTACACATTAGTAACTTCCAGCCCCCAAGCTGCCTAATTCCCAATGTTTCTTGCTTCCATCAGATCAGAAATGCACCAGGTGACAGCTAAGAGCATCCTTAATGTGGCTCAACCAAGAGGAAGGCCCTTGCTCACTCGAGCGAGCAAGCGAGCTTCTCTAACTCCCTCCATTACAAGTAGACTTTAAGACGTCGGATCAGAAGCCAGCTTGTCTTAGGAGTTCCCTCTGGCCCAAAGGGGACCACTCGTCATCAGCAAGGCCATCTGCAGGGCATTGAAGCACTTGAAAATGTTTAAATCCATGACTTTGTAATGACAGAAAAATACATTTGGGGAGAACACATTCTCTTAGGCAGCTGCGTTAGGTCCCCAGTCTCCCAAGCACACGTCAGGCTCCAAGCTTTTAAGCTCAAAGCCAGAGTTGTCTCTTTAATTAATACAATATTAAATGAGCAACTCTTTAAATAACACTTCATCATGCAAGTTACAATTTTCAGGCTTATTTTATTTTTCTATTTTAAAAAAAATGTCTGAACTCTATGCCTGTATCAAAAAATAAAGCTCTGGAAGGTAGACTAGGAAACATTAGTTCCCAACCCATCTAGAACCTTCCTCATCTAGGCTTACCCTGCCTGGTAATTTAGACACTGAGAGTCGCAGGCCAAGACGTGTGATTTTCACTGCAGGAGCCTCTGTCACTCCTGTCTCCAGTCTCCTCTGCCTCGAGGACATGACTCAGTGTCCCCACCATTTGCTGTTTCTCTCCTGTGACCGTCAAGGGGCATATGTGTGTGTAGTTTCCTTCACATGCTCCCTTGGTCTGCTCCTCTGGACCTTCACAAACTGTCTTTTGGAGTAGGGACAATTGTACAGTCAAGAGTGACATGATAAGGACTGTGGGGGGGAGGAAGGCACCAGGAGGCAGGAACAGCAGCCCCAGTTGTTCTGGACTATTCCCTGAGCATGCATTAGAGATACAGAGAGTGACATGAGTCTGTCCTGGCACGGCCCTTTGGTTCCTGGGTGCCTGATTTTATAGATCTTTCTTCTTCAGCAGAGGCTTGAGAACATATGGACTGTCATCTCCCTTAAAGTACAACAAGCAAATCGTCACTCATTTTACAAGCCAACTGAGACATCCTGCTCCCCAGTGGAAGGGGTGTATGTGGAGCTCACTCGATCTGCTGTCTCCCTGTAGAAAACTGGACACTGTTTGCAGAGATGCTTGGCGATGTGCTTCCGGAAGAACACCGAGAGATACCTTCTGAACTTCTCCCCGACGAAGGCGTAGATGACAGGGTTGATGCAACAGTGCGTCATCCCGAGAGTCTCTGTCACCTGCATGGCTTGGTCCAGCTGACTGGTGCTCTCACAGTTACTCAGGCCAAAGAATTCCTGGAAGGTGGTCAGGAGGAGGACGATGTTGTAGGGAGCCCAGAAAAGAAAGTAGACAATCATGATGGTGAAGATGAGCCTCACAGCCTTGTGTCTCTTCCTCTCATTCCGACACCGAAGCAGGGTTCTCAGGATCCCCGAGTAGCAGATGACCATGACAAGCAGGGGCAGCACCAGGCTCAAGACATTCCTCATTATTGTATGAAAGTTCTTCCATTTTAATGGAAAATATGGGCCACAGGAGTAATGAGAATTTTCTTCTTGGAATCTAGTAAAGATGATTCCTGGGACAGAGGCAAACATGGCCGCCACCCAGGTGATCCCACTTGTCACCACCCCAAAGGTGACAGTCCTTGCTTTTAAAGCAAACACAGCGTGGACAATGGCCAGGTACCTATCAATTGTCAGGAGGATGATGAAAAAGATTCCTCCAAAATAACCGATTTGATACATCCCCGTGAGTGACTTACACATGACATCTCCAAAGATCCATTCATTTGCAGCATAGTGAGCCCAGAATGGGAGAGTGAGAAGGAAAAGCAGGTCGGAGATGGCCAAATTGAGCAGGTAGATGTCAGTCATGCTCTTTAGCTTTTTGCAGTTGATCAGGATGAGAACTACCAGCAGGTTGCCCACGAAACCAAAGATGAACACCAGAGAGTAGAGCGGGGGCAGGAGCAGGGCTCCAATGTACTTCACGTCGGGTTTGTAACAGGGACTGCTGTAGTCATAGTCATATGTGGTGGTGGATTCTTCATTGCTTCCTTTAATACTTCTTATAAACAAAGAATGAGATGTGGATAATATATTATGGATGAACTGGGGTAACGTGTCCTTGTCTTCCATTTTCCCCTGTTCTGTAAAAGAGAATGGAATGAGGACCGCATAACAAACATGTCACCATCCATGGTCCAAACAGCCTTGCAACTGAAGCAAATTTCTGGTCTTTGGTCTCTCCTTCACAACCATCTCCTTGAAAGCAAGTGCCCCACTTCCCTTTTATTCTTTTTATCAGACACTGGTTTGTCCACCCAACAGCCATTTCCAATGCCTTTGTCTCCCCCAAACCAGCATCATTCCTGCTTAACTAAAACTTCTGCATGCTTAACTTTCTTTAGCTCCTCTGCAGGTAGCACACAGGCTTGTGATCCAGCCCTGGACAAGTGAATCTTCTGGAAAGGTAAGAGAGACACAGAAGAAACACTTCCTGCTCTTTGACTTTTGCAGCTTGTCTTATCTGGGCTTGATACTTGGGACCATAAACAAGAAACCCAGAGAACTAGAGAAAAGCCATGAAAAGTCCCAGGAGATGAGAACTGCTCATCTTCTAACATTATCATTTGATGGGAAAGAAAAAGCCATCGTGAATTGCATTTTCTATTACTTGCAGCCAAAAGCATTTTGATGACCCTCTCAACTTTCTACCTCCACTTTTCTTGCTGAGATTGCTATGACAACCCAATTTTCAAATGCCTTAATTTTGTTCCAATTTCATCTTCATAGAGCAATTGATCTTTTGCTAACTTTCTCCACTTAAAGCTCTTTGCTTCTAGGAGGAAGCTCCTTTCTGACAACCTCTTATTAATGTTTTTTGTTGGCATCTCTCCCCCCTGCCCACACCATATGAGCCCTCACGTACTGTAAGCTCTTATGCCAAATAAGCACATGTCACATGATCTTCCACACATTGTATGCCTCTCAAGGTCAATGACTGGATCATGCTTCCATGTCAAGCTCTTATGATTTCTTGGCTTTCATTTCTTATCATTTGCCTTTTATTTTTGCTCCAAAGTTCTTCCTGAATCATCTCAGTCAATCTCAGTGTCTGACCCCCCTGTGTGCTAATGCTTCTCAAAATCCCTTCTTCAAGTTGCACCTTTTCCCTGAATCTCAGAGTCGAACTTTTCATTGTCCTCTGCTTATCTCCCCATGGATTTATTTGCTTCACCAATGTTTGTGGAGTGCCCGCTATGATTCATAGTCTTGTTTTAGGCGCTGGAGATTCATCAGTGAGCAATACAGGCCTCAAGCAGGTACCACACATTCAACCAGCCACCAACTAAGCATTCCCTGAAATTTGCTCTAGGTTGTGGGATCCTTATCTTAATTGTTACTTTGTTGTCTAAGAAACAATACTTGGCATTACCCTGGATCCCTTCCTCTTCAGAAAACTTGGGGTCAGATCTTTGGAGCCAAATGGACCTGGATTGGAATCTTCCCTCCAATGTCTAAGTTGTGTAATTTGAGGTCAATGACGTTTTCAAGTATTAGTTGCCTTGCATATAAAACATTGAGTTGCTACGAAGACCGTTAGAGATAAGTGAGGATTTAGCATAGGCTCTAGGGGGAGAGAGGCTCTGAGTTATTATTGTCATAAAAGTCCTACCTAACAAAGACCTCTCAGATTCCTCCCCTCTGCATCTCTTTCAAATGTCAGTTTCTTGTCTCATAAACTCCTCAGCCCTTGCTTTGTTGTGGTCTTTCCTTTGCTCCTGCCTGGTCCGTAGCCATGTTCCTTTTCAATATGTCTTCTCTAAAGCTGAAATTGCATCATGAGCTTCTCAGCCTAAAACCTTCAGACTTATATATGGCAGAATCTTAAAGACAACAGCCAGACAGCTCAGCAGGGCCTTTCTAAGCTAGTTTCTTACTAGTTTCTCACTATTTCCCTCATGCATCAGTGGTTTTGTATGTACTTGTTCCTCTGCCTAAAATGTCAGTGAGCACCTATTCATCCTTTAATACCTCCTGCTCCAATTTTCCTTCTCTGTGAAGACTAATGTGCACGCTCTGTCAAACCACCTTACACAGTCAAATAGGCACATGTCACATGATCTTCCACACATTGTATGCCTCTCAGGGTCAATGACTGGATTATGCTTCCATGTCAAGCTCTTATGATTTCATCTATCAAAAAGAGGTACTAGCCAATGTTCACTGCTTGAGCACATGAAACTCTTTGTAATGATAATAACAAAAACAAGAAGACCTACATCCCTAGGACTTGATTTTTTTTTTTCCTGGCAGTGATTATACATTTGTTTTCATCTATCCATAAACCCAATCTTTCCCTCTCTCCTGTGACTGCCACATTTCACACCACCAAGTCAAAATATTGAAAACTGGAGAAGCTAAATAAGATCTAAGTTGGGAAAAAATGCACCCACTAGAGAATTCCAACTTCAGTGCCCCTGAAGCTGCAGGTGCTGTGTTAACTACTGCGTGCAGACTCATGAACTTAAACTTCAGCACAGCTAGCTAGCACTGGGTTCCTACATAGTGGCACTGTCTTAGGTGTCATTTCAAGCATCAGGACAGATCATCCAGAACTGATAGGGAGCAGCCACCTCTCAGAAAAAAGAAATTTCTCCCTTCAGTCTCAGTGGACCTCCTGAGTGGAGGCAAGAGGCACATTTTGGTCCAGGGCCTGAATTGTCCCCTATAGGGAAAAGAGGGAAAGATTTCAAGATAGAAAGTTCCAGCTCTTTGAAGCCCCTGCATGCTCAGAGGCACAGAAAGAGCCCATGGGAGCTTGGAGGGTGGTTGGACATAGCAGCTGTTCTTACTTCTTTGTTGTCCACTTTTTGCCATCACCTAAGTCCCAGGGAAAGTCACAACGTGTCCCACCCTGCATTTCCTCACTGTCATCTGGGTCTTCTTAACATCTGCTAATGCAGCCCCTCAGGTAAACCTGCACCCTGCACTTCCAGCTTTGAGTCTCTGGTTCCTAAAGTAGTGGAAAAATCCCCTGCAACTCACCAGTGGATGGCTTCTTCCAGGTGGCCCCAGTGTCTCAGGCTTCTCAGCAAGTGCACCAGACGGATCTGGAGGTAGAAACTGGGTGTGCAGAAGTAGGAAATAAAGTTTCCTGCAGAAAGAGAAGGCGGAGATATAAGGGCAAGTGATGGTGAAGATTTAAAAAAAAAAAGCATCAAGAAGATACAGTTCTTCTTTTCCAGATAGGAACGTTGAACACTACTGGGCTGAGGTCTCCAGAGGAGGATTGATTTTGAAATCTTGCTTGTGCAACCTTGATTGTGAGTCAGGGAGTCCCTGTACATCTGTTCTGACATCTAACTGACACTGGGCTTCTTTATCTGATGGGTCTCTGCATCTGGAACTTTTCCACTTGCTGCCCTGCTACTTGTGATCATTTGCATGACATAAAAACAGCAGAACTGAGCATTTCCTAGAGGATAAATGCAAGGGGACTGTTTGCTGTGGTGCAGGAAACGTGATGGGGTTTTACTGTGACTGGGTGCACTGGTTTCAGTGCTGTGAATTTAGGATCTGTTTTAAAACTTTAATTAGATCAAGCGTTTAATGAAAGTGATAGCTAAATGATCTGTGGGGTCAGGGACATCCTCAGCAAGAATAGTCTCACTTATTATAGGTCCCACTCCTCTGAAAGATATTTTGTTAAGAGAAAACAAAATTCTGCAGTGTAAGAACCATCCCTAAGGTCTGATAGGTCTTAGGTGGGATCATCTGAGCCAGTCCCTGGAACTCTCTAGAATTCAGCAGGCCCTGGGGTGAGGACCTCATGCTATGTCCTTTGCAAATTTCTAAGCTTCCACTTCCTCGAGAATCATAAGATCTCTGAAGCCTATAAGGGTTAAATGATCATAAAACAGCTAGTATAGTATCTGGCACACAGTAGGCACTCAATGAGGGACAAACAGCTTCACCTGAGCCATGTGCAGAGGGCAGAGTTGAAGGATACAGCCAGTCCAGGATAACAATAGCAAGAGACCCTCAGTGCAGTCCAGGTATCCTTTCTAGAAATGAGTAAGTTTAACCGTGGGTGGGTACCGTGTAAGACAAGGTTTTTGTGCTAAGCAAGGATGGCCTCAGGGTTTTCTTTAGAAGGCAGTTCCTTTCCTTCCTTGTTCAGGAACAGGGTGTCCTGCTATGTCTGGAATCTCCTGACCCTGGATCTTGCCATCAGTTTTTTTTTTTTTTTTGATTCAACCCAAGATAGGGAAGGTCAAGACCCAAGAAGTTTGCTGTCTCCAATTAGGACCACTTTACATTTCTATCCGCACACTAGAGATCATTGGGTCTAGTCCTGTCATTTTGTCATTAAGGAGAGGTGCTGAAGTAGGTGACAGCAGAGCCAGGATTTAAATCCTATCTGACCACAGGAAACTAGTGACACCTGCGGCTGAAATTTGCAAGAGATTGTATAAGTTGGAAAGTACTTACAGAAGGGCAACCAGGGTTGAGAGATCCAAAGGGGTGGCGAGGTGTCCAGAGTCTAGCAACATCAGAAACTAAGACTCCTATGGTTTGTGGAAGTCCAGAATGTGCACCCCAAAATATTCTTCTTTGGCATTAGGATCGATGAGCTGAAAGTAATTTGGAAGGAGCAGATGCAGAAAAGTTCTCTGCCTTCCCTCTAAAATAATACATAGATTTTATAAAGGCAAAAAGTGTCCCACACCCCTTCTACCAGAGAGAGCAAAGGTTAACCACCAGAGACAACTTCAGATCCTTATCAACAGGGAAATGGTACCAGAAGAATTTGCATTAACAAGCTTTTCTAACCAATCTTTATCTGCCATTTATTTGCCTTCCCACAACTTTCCACCCTTAGAAACTCAAATTCCTTTTCCTTTGTCTTGTCATTTCTCTTAAATTTTACTGTTTTTCATTGAAGATGCTTTATAAGCTGAAATCCAAAGCCGCCTGCTTGAGAATTATTCATTCCCTGGATATATGCTACCTAGATATGAAATATACATGTTAATATACTTCTTTTTTCCTCCCTCTTGGTTAACTGTCTTTTGTCTATTCCAACTGAGAAATTATCAGGGTTGAGGCAAAACAATTTTTTTTTCTTCTGAGAACTTGAAGAGTCCCCCAACCAAAAACAGCCAGTATCACCCGAGTTCTCATTAGAACTTTGCAGAACAGGACAACAGAGGAAAAAAGGGTCCTGAAAGTTGCTCTAGCCTTTTGCTCCCACCCTCTGATCTCTGCCAGCACCTCCTGTGGCTGAACCCCATGCAAATGTGGGGAAAGCAGGGATGGAGAGAATCCGTGGTGAGACAAGAAGGCAGAAAGGTCCATCAGTGGTCTGATGGTACTTTGATGATGCCCTGGTAACAGTCTCTGTCCTCTGCAGTGGACATATATATGTGTGTGTGTATGTATGTATGTGTATATATATATTATATATATATATATATTCTTGCCTCTTGTCTTCACAGTTGCTTTTAGTTCATTGTGGTTTCTCTGGTTTACGTGTTTCCTGTGATTACAAAAATAGATGAGTGAGTTCTAGGATTTTGTACCTTTGGTTTTAGTTAAACACTATCAGGACTAATAGGGTACCCACAGAAAAAGTAGTTTTCAAATTCCTATCTGCTTTAGGTTATGTCTTCATCATAAAAATAACAAACTATTTTCGTTTTAAGTGACAAAGCAGCATGAAGTAACCAGAATAAAGGCAGCGACTCAAAGAAAGAAAATAAGAAAGAAAATGTCGAGTAGGGGGGGAGACCTGATGTTTTCCCCATCTTGGGAGTTCACTAAGGCATCCAAATGATTAAAAATAGAAATAAAAGGTCATCAAAATAGTCAAGTCTTTATTAACTAAGAACGTAAAGGTAGTTGATCAGATGTTTCCATATTTTCAGGTCGCGTAAACTTTGGGGAGGAAAAAGAAAGAACTCAGGATCTTTACCACGTTTGCTTGCTGAAAAGCTCTCTCAAGTGACTGAAGAGGATTTGTTTCAAGCCTGTATTAAGGAGTTAATTCTGTGTTCTGGAGTTCAGATGCTCTATGACTAACCTTGGATCTCAGTATGATGCCTCCTGCTGTAGCAAGGAGGATTGGGGAGAGGATAGAGCCCTTAGAAGGAATTCACAGATGCCCCCAGGACATGGCAGTGGCAAGTTGGGGAAAGAGAAACACAGTCACACCCTGCTGGCCTCCCTGCCCCAAGGCTTGCAGAGTGCCTGCGGGATGAGGTTTCCTAATGCCTGCAGGATGAAGTTTTCTACCTGTTGTTGTGGCTTCTGAGGTGTCCCAGGGAGGGCCACAGTGCTCTGGCAAACATCAGAAAATTCAGGTTATGCTTTTTTGTATATATAGGTGGCATGAAAAGAAGCCCACAGAGCTGGATGTGGCAGAGATTCTGATGGGTGGACATTTCGGGCCTCGCTCTGGGTGGGCAACAGGTGGCGGAGATCGTGAGATGAACCAATCAACCATGGTTGGTTGGGGAACCCTACATGATGCTGCTACATGATGTTGCAGGAACCATAAACATTTGGGGTGGTGGGGGAAGAACTAGAGTGTGGTGGACAACCCATCTGTAGTGCAGCTCAGGCACACAGTACTGTTTCAAAGTAACGCATGTTGAAAGCAAAATTTGATTTTCTGAACAATCAACCATTTGACAAACCTTCATCTAAATGATTAAGAAAAAAGAGAAGATTCAAATAATGAAAATCACATGAAAGTGGGGGCTATTACTGCCAACTTTACAGATATAAAAAAATCATAAGAAAATATCATGAATAACTGTACACCAACAAATGAGATCACCTAGAAGGAAGTGAACAAATTTCTAGAAACTCTAACAATTGCAAAAAATTAACTCAGGAAGAAATAGAAGTAGAAAGTCCAAAAGGATCTATAAAAAAAATAGATTGAGCCAGTAATGAAAAATATCCCTCCACCAAAAAACAAAACAAAACAAAACAAACCTCTGTGTATGTGTGTATACACACACACACACACATACGCACACACATTCTGGGTCAGATGGCCTTACTCGTAAGTTTTATAAACATTTTTTAAAAAATTAGCATCAATACTTCTGACAGTTTTTCCAAAAATAGAGGAAAAGGGAACACTTCCTCACTTATTCTATAAAGCCAGTATTGCCATGAGAATAAAGCTAAGGTGACATCATGAAAATGCTAGAGACCAATATCTTTCATGATAGATGCAAAAATTCTCAACAAACAGAATCCAATGACACATTAGAAGGATTATACACCACGACCAAGTGAGATTTATTCAGAGAATGTACATGAGTTGACATAAAAAGACCAAGCAATGCAATATACCACAATAACAGAAAAAAGGCAAAATAAAATAATACACCTCTGCATCTTAGTTGACACAGGGGGAAAAATACAATATACCTCAAGACAAAAAATATTTGAAAAAAAATGGAACAGAAAGGAACTTCCTGAACATAATAGAGAGCATTTGTCAAAACACCACAGTTAATATCATGCTCAGTAGTGAAAGACTGAATGATTTCTAAGACCAGGTATAAGACAAAGGTGCTCATTTTCATAATTGCTATTTAACATCAAACTAGAAGTTCTAGCTATTGGAATTAGGTAAGAAAAGGAATTAAAAGACATCAAGATAAAAAAAGCAAGAAACAAAACTATAATCCAAGATGACATTATCTTATATATATGTAGAAAATGCCAAATAATCCATTAAAATCCTTACCAGGTTTATAACAAAAATTTGGCAAAGTTGCAGAGTACAAGATTGACACACAGAATTGGTTGCATTTCTATACATCAGAAATGAACAATCCAACACGAAAATTCGGAAAATAGTTTCATTTACAATAGCATCAAATAATAAAATACCTACAAATAAACTTAACCAGTGAAAGGCTTGTTTACTAAAACTACAAAAATTATAAAAGAATATAAAGAATATATAAATAAAGCAAAGGCAGCCAATATTCATAGATTAAAAAACTTGGTTTCAAAATACATTACAAATATACAATAACCAAAATAGTGTGGGACTAACATACAAACAGATCAATGGGATAGAATTGAGAGTTCAGAAATAAACTCATGCATTCTTTGCTACTGAATGTTCAACAAGGCTGTCAAGACTATTAGGTGGGGAAAGGATAGACTCTTTAATAAATTGTGCTGGTATAACTGGATGTATACATGCAAAAGAGTCAAGTTGGTTGGACCTCTTTCTCACATTATCTACAAAAATTGTCTAAAAGTGGATCAGTGACCTAAATATGAAAGTTAAGATTTTAAAACTTGCTGGGAGCCATTAGCCAAGTAGGTATGACAATTTCCTTGCCAGCGTACCCCATGTTGCAGTGACATTGAATGTAGGTGACCTTGCTCAAGGACCAAGGCGGATTAGGGCGTTCCCGGTTTAGGTTCCAGGTTTAAGGTTTAAGATTATTCCTGCTGGGAATAGGGCGTATCCTGCTGCCTGAGTTCCCCTTGAGTTCTCACGGGATTCAGACAGTATTTTTTGGGAGACAGAAGCCCAGTGGATGTGGATTTGGGCAGAGAACGTGGATTTCCCCAGAACGTGATTGTAGACGGCTGGTGTGAGTTCGGGAATAAAGAGTTGCTGTTTGAATCTACAAGCTGTGTGGTGGCTCGTGATTGTGTGCCCAGCCAGACTGCAAAAACTCTCAGATGATAATCTGAAGGTAAATCTTCATCATCTTTGATTTATCTATTAATTGTTAAATATGACATCAACTCCATACGTATCAAAAAATTAAATTGTAGTTTTTATCAAAATTAAAAACTTTTGTGTTCTAAAGGGCACTATCAGTAAAGTGGAAAGATAATCTATAGGATAAAGAAAATATTTGCAAATCATATATCTGATAAAGTCCTAATATCCAGAATATATAAAGAAGGTCTAGGGCTGGGGATATAACTCAGTGAGTAGAGTCTCATACTTGATTAGCAAGCTTGAGGTCATGGGTTTGATCCCCAGCACTGCAACAAACAAACAAACAAAAGAATGACTATATCTCAACAAAGACAAACCAGTTTAAAAATGGTTAAAACACTTAAAAAGACATGTCTCCAAGTAAGAAATGATCAATAAGCACAGGAAAAAGCAAGTCCATATCATTAGTCTTTAGGGAAATGCAAATCAAAACCCACAAGATACACTTTACACCATTAGGACGACCATAATATTTTTAATGGAAAATAAAAAATGTTGATAGGACTTGAAGAAATTGGAACTCTATTACATTGCTGGTGGGAATGTAAAATGATGCAGCAGATTTGAAAACAGTTTGACAGTACCTATAAAAAGCTAAGACATAGAATTATTATATGACTCTGCATTTCTAGTTCCAATATAAACCTCTAAGAACTGAAAACAGGTAATCATATACTTGTATATGAATATTCATAGTAGCACTATTCACAATAGCCAAAAGGTAGAAATAACCCAAATGCCCATCAATGAGGAACGCATAAGTCAATCGTGGTCTCCACATATACTTACGCATAAAAAGAAATTAAGTACTGATACATGCTGAGAAGGGGATGAGCCTTTAAAACTTGCTAAGTGAAAGAAGCCAAATGTAAAAGACCACGTATCTTATTGCTCCATTTATATGGAATATTTATTTAGAAAAGGTAAACCCACAGTGATGAAGGCTGATTGGTATTTACAGGGGTTGGGGGA